CGCTGAATTTGTAGATTTCCTCACTTAGAAACAAATAAATAATCTCTAATTTCATTTAGTTCTAGTTTATTTTGAACCAAGACGGACAAAATATCAACCAAAAATCCATAAATAACACATTATATAAAGGTTCTGAACTGATTTGGGTCATTTTGTGACATACGTATTTGATGCCCTACAATTCAGCCAGAACTCCGACTCCCAGAATTCTGCGTTGGAGGCTTTTCCATTGAGCCGATTTAATGCAGATTTGCTAACATTAACTCATAAATGTGATGAATGAAATGAGCCCTCTTATTCATCGTAATCCCAGAATATTTTAATAAAATAATGATAATTGGTGTTCCTGTATTGCCACTCAAAATATCACGATACCATTGCTATATCGATTTTTCCCCCAACCCTTTCCATAAAACGTTTACCTCGAGGGACGCTGGTTAGGTTACAGCCTCGATGTCATCCAGCTTTCTTGCATCTACACTTGCATCTAACCAGAAACTGCTGCAGGTGGGCAACTGGCTCATGTGCCGCTATGACGAGCTCACCAAGGCTGCAAAGTGAAACTACCTCCTGCAGCAACAGTCCAAGAGTATGGAGTCAGACCTTGCGTGTGCACACCTACTGCCCCACTACAGACACAAATACAGTGTAATTCTGTGGGAGACATTACATTCAGTCAGTAGAGTAACTTGAACTGGAAATATAAAGGTCTGATACCCTCCACCTCCTCTCACCTTATCAGTAAAGGATTCAGAATGAGTCTCCTCCTCTTAAATAACAAAAGCTGTATTAAGGAGGGGTGCAAGTACTTTTTAAGTGTATCCCCTTCCTGTGGTGTCACATTCGACAATTTCAGCCCGCTGCAGCTGTGACCCAGATCAGCTTGATGGGAACCTAGGCTGGCTCTGATGTCACCATTGCTCTCACGGTTCCCCGGCCAATCCCTTTGCTTGAATGGCATCAACGTGATGGAAAAAAACAGACCGGGAAAACCAAGGGGCACTCCGGTTTTACTGACAAAAGCGAAATGCAAACAGTTAGCTCTTACGGCCCCCTTACCCCAGAGAAAACAGGCGCTATGTATCCCACTGCCCTGAATGCCACAGACACACGGGCCTGCCCGGGCTTGTGTGATCGCTCAAAAACAGAGAAAGAGAGAAAAAACTGACAACACTGCAGATTACAGTTTCCCATGAAGTCATGAGTCATAAAAGCATTTTCGCCACAGGTGCAACATAGTTCTGACAATGTGTTGCTAATAAGGCAATATTTTTTCACACCGTGACAATGTGTCATAACAACACTGCAGTGATCTGATGTCTGATTACTTTAAATTAAAAAAGAGGAAAGAATTGAAAGAATGTGGAAAACAATATGTGAAATTATTCAAAACAATGGAAGCACAACAGCAGGGCAGGTTAACAGCTGTGATCAGCTGACCAATGCTGCTAGCTCAATATTCACTGCTCTTTGTGGATTTAGCCAGCTATACTTTACAAAATGTAAGCAAATGTTTTGAGAGTTATTACTAACTTCTAAAGACCGAGTATATACGGTAGAATTCGGTGGGTTAATCTAACCACGTTATCTCCTTAAATATGAACCAGGCAGCATGGTGGTGCAGTGAGAAGCGTGTTGCCTTACAGCAAGAAGGTTATGGGTTTGATTCCTGAGTTTGTTTTCTCGGTAGGGTTTTCTCCTGGTACTCTGGAAAGCTACATTGTAGCCACAGCCACCCTGGGGCGCACTGACAGAGGCGAGGCTGC